CCAAACGTGCGGAGTCCTCTGGGCTCTGGGCCCTGGGCCCTGGGCCAGCGAACTGTGTGGACACTCGACCTGGGTGCGGATGGTGACCATGAGCTCATAGACGTGATTTTTAATTTTAATTTTTTTTTTTTTTTCCCCCTTCTTCGCAATGCATGGGTTCTTCAATTGGAAATTTTTGTTTTTTTCTGGGGGGGGGGCGTTCTGGGATTACTGGGGCCTATTGGTACCTATGGGACCCGAGCCAAAATCATTGTTGGCAAGGGAGGCGCCACTGTTCTAGGAAGGCGTCACCCGTACTGGGATGTGCGTTTTGACTACGTTCAGAATCTGTGGATGTCTGTGTGACTGTGTGCGGCAGTGCCACAGTGGGACACTGTTTCAGACGGACTCTGCAGACTCTGAAGTCCGCAACTGATCAAACGGAGATGCTGTCCCAAAAATAAATAAATAAATAAATAAATAAATAAATAAATAAATAAATAAATAAATAAATAAATAAATAAATAAATGCTGTTCCACTGTTGCAGACGTCAGATTAGAAAACATCACAAATGATCAGATGGCAGATTTCTCAAGGCCGGACTTGATACTCAAGAAGACGTCAACGTTTAAAAAAAAAAAAAAAAAACCAGTCAAACAAAGATAACAGTTACTCTTAGAGGATCAAGTCAATCCAATTGACCAACCAATCACCTCCTCCCTTCTTCAACAAGAACTTTAATTTAAAGAAGAAAGAACGTTCTGAAGAAGATTCTGAAGAAGACGGGAGGAGGAAGAGGAGCAGGAGCAGGAGCAGCAAGAGTAGGAGGAGGATAGACAAACAGTCAGAAAGAAGAAGAAGAAGAAGAAGAAGAAGAAGAAGAAGAAGAACTTAAGAAGAAGAAGAAGAAGAAGAAGAAGAAGAAGAAGAAGAAGAAGAAGAAGAAGAAGAAGAAGAAGTTGTCCTAGGAGGGGGAGGTGGGAGCCACTGGGAGTCACTGGGAGGTGGGTAGAAATGGAGGGAGGGAGGGCGATAAAGAGGAAGAGAGGAAGAGAGGGAGGGATGGAATGAGGGAGGGAGGGAGGGAGGTACTGACCCGAACTATGTTCTTGTGAGACAGCCGATGCCATACTTCCACCTCTCTCCTGAAGTTGTCTTTCAGCTTTTGCAGATCGGACGGTGAGCTGGCCTCCGGAAACAACAAGAACTTGACGGCCACCTTCCGATCCTGATAGTTCCCTCTGTGCACTATTCCAAATGCCCCACTGGCCACCATCCCTCCCATCTCCACCTCCTCAAGGTCGATATGCCACGAAGCTCCGGCGCTGCAGTCTTCCCTCATTTTGCTGCACGCATCATCCTCACAGTCGCTCCCCTCCCCCCCCCCTCCCCCCCTCCCCCCACAGTCGCCACTTGCTTGCCGACGCGTGGCATTCGTGGTTCCACTGGTCGTTGCCGGCCGACTGACGCGGTCCAGCCACTCCTTCTCCATGTACAGCTCCGCCAGGCTGGCTCCTCTGACGACCTTCCTTATCTTCTGCTTGCTGTAAGGAGACACATTGCCGTCAACATACATCCACACCATGGAGGACGGTCTGTCGGGCTCAGACAAGATGGAGCTCTCAGCGTCGTCGTCGTCGCCATGTTCGTGCCACCGGCGGGCATAGCCGTTGGACTTGCGATGCCGGTGGACGTCCGTAGAGTTCACAGGAGAGGCCGCCACAGTTGCACAGCTCTCTCTCTCGCTGTCGCAGTTCACAGGAGGCCTGCTGCTGCTGTCTGCCACATTCCGCTCTCTCACACACTCCTGACTCTCCTCCATCTCCCGAATCCCCCCCTCATCTCTACGAGCTCTCGAGGTTTTGACTGTCGGCCTGGCGGCCGGGACGCATCTGGAGAAGGAAGGGGTGAATTCGGTTTCCTCCTCCTCCTCCTCCTCCTCCTCCTCCTCCTCCTCCTCCTTGTCCATCTTGTTGTCCACATACTCCCTCTCCCCTGATACCTTTTGTCCTCTCGACGGTGACAAGGACATGGCTATGACCTCCTCCCCGCCGCTGTGAGCGGATGCATCTCCTCCTCCTCCTCCTCCTCCTCTCCGGATGACTCCATTGACTGTAGCTTCCCAGTTGTCGTTGAGTAAGGTGAGCGATCCGGTGGAGGATTGCTCTGGCGTCCTCTTCGGTTTGTTCATTGCTGAGCTGGCGGAGCGCCTACGAGATGAGGGCACAGGGAAGGAGAAGGTGCAGTCTGACGTGTCAGTTGAGTAGAGTGGACATGTGGGCGAGAATGTGGTCCCACATGTCGACCCCTGGGAGGAGGGGGACGCACAAGACAACTCCATGGAAGAAGACCCTGCCCCTGTCCCTCTGCTGGGGAACATGCAGGCGGAGAGAAGGGAGAGTTCGACAGCTTGCTCGAGAGAGGCGGGGGCGACAGGGGCGCTGCCAAACAGGCTTCGGCGGACGGATATTGCAACACGGTCGGGACAGGGCGCAGCGGCTGACACGTGCCGAACTCCCAATGGCTTGTGTCCAGATGATGATCGGCAGCCGCTGCCTGCAGCACGACCAGTGGTGCCCCGTTCCCGATGTGATTTGCCAGTGGTAGATATGAGGGGCACATTCTTAGGCATACACGCCGGTTGGGATACCGATGTGTGGCGTCTGCTGCGGATATCCGTAATGATATCCCTCTCGCTACTGTGCTCAGTTAACGAACAACATCCCTCGTGCGCCGTAGGTTCAGGAGATGATGGAAATGACGAAAACGAAGATGAAGTCGATGATAGCGATAACGATCGCTGCCTCCACCTCAATCCATCTTGTCCGTCCCCTCCATGTCCATGCCTCTTCCCATACACCATTGCTAGTTCATCCAGCTCTTGCAACGGACACATCTCTGTTCTCCACTTCTCTTTCCCCACACTGAACTTCGCCAGCCTTCTCTCTCTCTCTCTCTCTCTCTCTCTCTCTCTCTCTCTCTCTCTCTCTCTCTCTCTCNTCTCTCTCTCTCTCTCTCTCTCTCTCTCTCTCTCTCTCTCTCTCTCTCTCTCTCTCTCTCGCTCGCTCGCTCGCTCTCTCTCTCTCTCTCTCTCTGTGTGTCTGTTTCAGTAAACGGCTAGAGGAGGAAGTTAGTGATGGTTGGTTACCGTGGTAACTTCAACTTGGCTTGATGCAGTGAAAAGTAACTCACAGAGTCACAGTAACTTTCGGGCAGCTCGTACTCGTACAAGAATTTATCGTTGACTTGTACGAGTACTCAGTACCGTAACTTGGAAGCAAGATAATTGTGCAAAGATTTAACTCGCAGTAACTAGTAGGAGTAGCTGGAGTTATCGCGGTAGTAAATGGTTACTACAGTAACTACTATGATTACTTGCTTTGGAGTTACGGTGGGTAACTATGGTTGGCAATGCTACTATGGTTACTACGATTAGTTGCTCTGGAGTTACGGTGGGTTACTAAGGTTGCTATTATGGTTACTTGGTCGGGAGTCGGGACTTACTGTGGCCAGAATTTCATTTACTGCGGTACCTGGTTACTTGTATGAGCAATTTAAAAATATCCCTTCAGAAAACTGTTCGTGATTCAATATTTCCTGGCATCCTGCTTTTCACCACACCACTGCTGCCACGTGTCCTCCAGGGGTCACCTGCCAGCACAACAAGATAGGTTGCCATGGACGCACGGTCAGCATGATGATGGGAGTTAGCTAAATCCAATAAGAAGGAAGACTCTGAGGGAAAAATTAACAAAAGAAAAAAGGAAAAAAACGATGAGGAGAGAACGCAAAGAGATGGACATGATCATTGAAGTTGATAGAACTTTATAATAATATTATTATATATGATGATGATATATATATATATATATATATGCAGTATCATAATATTATATTTTATATAATATAATATAATACTATGTATATATGCAGTATCATAATATTATATTTTATATAATATAATATAATATAATACGATGTAAAATATTTATACAACCACTGGTTTCTTGTGATTTTCTCCCTCTGTGCGGCTCTGCCTAGGGTTCACTGGGCAGTTCTGTGTGGGCAAGGTCCCACTAGCAAAGAGAAGTGGATTAAGCTCCTGAATCTGGACGTGTTTTAGGCAGAGATGCAGAAAGGCAGATCAATCACCATTTACAAACACATCCAGATTTCGGGCGTTTAATCTAACCCTCGTTGCTACCGGTAGTGGGACCTCGCCCTGGGACTTCATGCATCTGTATTTCCCCCAATTATGCAGTAGCTGCAGCCCCAAAAAAATCAACAAATGTATGAAAATAAAAATCTTTAAAAATTCCAAAATTTTATGGAAAGAAAAATTATCTGTTGTGTAGAATTGCAATGCAAACAACATGTGGCTGAGGGTCACCTGAAAAAAAATTACGCACAAATGAAAGTAAGGCACCCCTTTCGAACCCCTTCAAAGCCCCTTTAAGGCCCATTGATACCGGAGGGGGGGTTTAAATTTTCGAAGTTCAAGCCATTATTTACACTGAAACGTGCAGCGCCATTTTTTTTTTCAAGAATTAAGGAGTCTAAATTTCCGAACAGTTATTTTAGGAAAGACTTGGGGATGCCAAAGCTGTGCAAAGGGAGTCTAAATTATTAGAGTAAAAACATCCCCAGCACMCCCCCCCCCCACCCCACGCCCCACTGCGGGCCCCTTCCCCCCCAAAAAGTTGAAAACTTTTTAAAAGTCTACAACTGCGCAGCATCGCGTTGGGCTCGGTGACCTAGTAGGTCCTAAGCTTGCCTTGAAGTTCTTGAAAACTTCAATCAGCTTGAAGATGTATCTGGTCACTAAAGCAGTCGAAGAGGAGTTACTTCAACTACGCAACTGCTATAACCGACTATTAACCGTCAGGTCTGTCACTATTGAGATGATCTCGAAGCCTCCAGCGAAGGGACTCTATGATGTACAGCCTACTTGTAAAAGCTCGTATCTTTTTGAAATCTTCAATCGGATTGCAGATGTACCTGGCAATCAATCCGGTTTAAGGGGAATTTCGCACACATAACTGTTCAAAGTTCAAAGCTTTCCCCCTCAGGGGAATAGGTTGCTCCCGTCTTCGCTCGAGTACAACATACAGTTGTTAAAATATCTGTATTTGGGCTATCTTTCAGTCTAAATACAGCTATAATTATGACATGTTCGTTGTATTCGGGTGAAGACTGTAGTTGGCCAAATTTGAGGTGGCCACTTCTGACTTATCATGCCCAAACCACATTTCTTTTCCTTTTCTTTTTCCTTTTGCTTTTTCTTTTTCTTTTTCTTTTTTTTTTGCTCTCTCTCTTAAAGTCTCTTTCCTTTTTATTTTTGTTAGAGAGGGCTACGGGCTATGATCATTTTGCTGACCAGCCCCAGGTACTTCAGAATGATTTTTTATCATTTTTTTTTCTACTCAGTGACATCTGATCGCAGCTGGATTTGAACTTGGGCCTGTATATTTCAACAGTCCATTCGTTGTACCAACTGTGAGCTACGCCTGTCGGACAGTGTTAGTTAATGCTCTCTGTTTAATATAGTACCAAGTACTTCATACATCATAAAAGAAGTCCAACCCAGGCCGCAAAATTTAATCTTGATCTGGATATTGAAGCCCAAAAGGATGGTGTTTTATCTTCTTCTTCTTCTTCTTCTTCTTCTTCTTCTTCTTCTTCTTCTTCTTTTTTCTTTTTTTTTTTCTTTTGTTTTGAATCTCTTATCCACTGATAAATGCTGTACACCCAACTCTACAGTCTTCCCCCGAATACAACGTACGGTCATTATAGCTGAATTTGGGGTATTTTTCAGCCTAAATACAGATAAAAATGACCGGACGTTGTATTCGGGGGAAGAAGGTAGTAGGAAGAACCAGAAAGTTTAACCAAGAACAGGGACGAATCCGGCCACGGCCTGCCAGTGCTGCCACTCACCATATGAGCAAAATAAGAATGAATCTTAATATGCTAGAACAGGGAAAGATACATGGCCATATTCTGTGTGTTTTATGCATGTCGCCAGTAGTGGAGGCAGGCCCATTGCCAGGAATGAATGGGAGAAAAGGGAGGCAGGGGTAGTAGCGGAGGCGCCGGAGGGTAGGGCAGAGAGAGGGAACAGAGTGGACATAGCCTTGGAGGGTAGAAAGCCTACCGTCTTCATGCTAATAAAATGCCCGGTCATTATCTCTGCATCTGGTCTGGCAGGTGCCCCAAATACAGCTATAATGACCGGCTGTTGCATTTGGGTGAAGACAGTGGTGGGGTAGAAAGGGAGAGCTTTGAAAGTGCCCTTAATGCTCCTTGGCCTCCTTCTCTTCCTGGCGTTCACAAGAGCGCACACTCATAGGGAACACAAAGATCTGCTCCCTGCCTGCTCTCTCTTTCTCTCTCTCTCTCTCTCTCTCTGACACACACACACACACACACACACAGAAACCTGCACATAGTTGGGAAGTACAACTCTCTCTCTCTCTCTCTCTCTCTCTCTCTCTCTCTCTCTCTC